GCCAAGATTAGCCAGGGATTATGGCTCCAAAAAAGGCTACACAGTCCACTGAGTCGAAGAAGAACCAAATCAAATTCTGGCAAACAGAAGGAGGAGGCATAAGAAGCAGTGAAGAATCCATTAACACTCTGGAGTGCATACTACCTAGAGAATTTCTTTGATCTTAGGTTGTCATGTTCTTGGCTAGTTTTTCAAAATCCTTTCCTTTGCCTCTCATCACTTTAGTCTTTCAGGGGTCAAGTTTCATTCACCTGGCTATCTCCCAAGAGTGTGCTTCCAACAGGCATCAGGATGCTTGGGACACATATCATCTCTGGCTTTAGAGTTCTACAAATCTGCTATGAATATTATTTTAGGATCTTAACCTTCCCTTATGCACTTAGGAAAGCTTAAAATATTAATTGCCTATTCTGTTCAATATGAGCAACTTTATAAGTGATGATTTAACATGCCTTTGAAGAAGTTCAGAATGGTAAACGCTGTCAACAAAAATAAATCTTCAACTAGATGAGCTATAAATAAATATGACTCAGAAAATACCCCAAATATTAACATGCTTTGCACTCATTAAATATTTTCCCTTCATTTCCTCACTGTCTCTATGAATACTTGTACCATAACTCTCACATCTGATTCACTTCAACTTCACCCTAGTTGAAAGCAAATTAGTGCACTCTTTCACTTGGGATTACTTAGCACAGCTTATTTAGTTCATCTGTTGAAATAGACACTTCCTCTGTTTATTTTCATTCCACATACAGTCTACAGGTCAGTAAAAGTAGAGATTAGGATAATGGTTAAATTTTTTTCTAGCTATTCCATTATCTTTCTGAATATGAATTTCAGACTTACGACTTTGTTACTTGATTTTGGTAGTTAAAATTTCCCAAAACATCCAAACATAACCATATTTAAATATAAATCTAAAAATAATACTTTAAATAAAATTTTAATGAGATTTTCAATTTATGTCTAAAGTTACACTTCAAATGAATTTTAGAATATGAGATGTTTTAAATGTATTCAATATCAATGACAACATACATTGCTATTTATCAACCTGACACCTCCAGAAAGATTTAAGATGATATATTTTCATTATTTCTTCTAAGTGCCTTTCCTAATCTTTGTTGTAAGGTGCTGTCCTGTGCACTGTAGGATGTTTATAAGCATCCCTCCCCTGAGTGTGACAACTAAAATGTTTTCAGACATTGCCAAATGCTCCCTGGTGTGTGCATGTGTGTGTCTGAGCGAATGTTGTGGGAATTGTCCTTGGTTGGGAATTACTGCTTAGAGTCTTGAAACTCCCCTACCCAATGTTCACCAGTCTTGTGGGTAACAAATGGTGTTAGCAAATTATAATGGTTGCTTATCACTTATAATTCAGTCTCTGTCAGATCTATGTGTATTTTTCAGGTAAGTCTGGTCTCCTTGCTTTTACTCTTATTCCTCTGTATTCTATGTTCATTCCCTTACTCATTTAACAATGTTCACTGAGCACAGACTAGATTTTTACATGCATGATTCTAGGTGCCAGACATGTTGGCCATCAAAACGATTAAGGTCCTTGTTCTCTTGATGTTTACATTCTAGTGTGACAGTGAGCTGTGGGCAAACCTCTCCATTGGTCCCCTGAGACCAAGAAAGCCAGGCCAGTTTTGGTGGTGGTACTGGTCAAGGTGTCCTTGAGATTTCAAAGCAATACTGTCTTTGGCAGAGGTTCAAAGCAGGGTGGGTAATATAAAAATGTTGCTTAGTAATGCCTTAGGTGAAAAAAATGGGACGGTAGACTGACTGGACTTTGTCTCCCCTTGTTCTGCAACTTCAAAATCATTGTCCAGAGACAAGAGTCCTCCCTGATTCTGTAAGTTCTAAAACAACCTGAAAGAAGAAATGATTCTGTAGAATTAAATTTATGAACAGCTTTGGACCTATTTCATTAAGGATTAAACTATTTTTATTCTGAATGAAAATCTTTCAGGAACCTCTTACATACATCTTTTACTTTTTCAATATATTGACCACTTTCCTTTCTTCCAAAAGACACTACAATGAGCTCAGTAACGTTTTCTGAGGCAGTAGGGCATGGCAGTAAAAATACTGATTATGAAGCCAGACAGCTTGGGTTCAATGCTGGGCTTTGCCTCTCACCAGCTGGGCAATTTAACATCGTGTGCCTCAGTTTCTTTAACTATAAATATTATACCTACCTCATAGAGTTCTTGTAAGGACTAAATCAGTTAATTACATGTCTTAATCAGTTAATAAGGACTAAATCTAATACATTATATGTATTAATCGGTTAATAAGGACTAATCTGTTAATACATGTAATGTACTTAACACACTGCCTGGTATACAGTACTGCTCAAAAACTGTTAGTTGCTACTGCTATGTCTACTGTTATGATTATGATTATAGCAATATTTTTTTTTAGTGTCTTGAGCTCATTATAAAGATCTTAAATTATAATATGCTACAACCTAATGATAACTTTTTTAAAGGCCTAGGGTTATGGCTTTTACATAAAATGGTCCCAGAACGATTTGCTGGAGTGCTCTTCTATGCTGTTTTATAGCTTTTATATTTTCCTTTGTGAAGTCTCTGGTTTTCACTTCTCACTGTTGGTAATTTTTCATATCTTGTATTAGCCTCTTTCCACACTTCTATTTCTACAGGGGGCATAAAAAAGTGTAAACCAAGTTTTTAGACATATGTGTTAATAAGAAATTATATGTTCTAAACTAAGTTGAAAAAGCTCTCCTCTGAATAGAGAGCAGGCACTTGAGACCATGGAGATCTCTTTTGGCTCTTCAGAGGTATTTTATTTTTTTCTTATTTCCTGTTTCTTAGGTAAATATAACAAGTTATCAGAAAATTAAGTTTCTGGGGTGAGTAGATGTAATGATGGGTACATATAAAGTTAAAATTAGGAGGCCTCTGATTTAGTTCATACAAATACACTAAGTAGTCATTACTCTCCTACTACATGCTACATACTGGGGGAATAAAATGAATGATATGGTCCTGAACCTCAAGAAGGCTGCAATTTAGAGAGGAAGATGAAGTATAAACAAAAATATCAAGGTAATATAGTTAGAGATGCCAATGTTTTTCACACCAGGTGGTAGTCTAGAGGAAGGGCCCTTAATGTAACCTGGGAACTCAGGGAATGCTTCCCAAAGAGAATCATGCCTAAACTGAGCCTTGACAACATTCAAGTGAAGAAAGGTTTGATGGGCTATTCTAGTCATGGGAACAGGAGAGCTAATGAGAGGCAGGAAGCAGCATAGTGCTCTTGTGACAGCATACAGCTGTGTGTGTAAAGAATAAACAGTTTGATATTACTGTGATTAAAAAACGATGATGGGAAATGGTGAGCAATGAAGCTCAGAGGTAGACTCTACAGGGTCAGACTTGAGAGATCCTCATATGTTATGCTGACAAGCTTGAATATTACTTGTTAAGAGATGGAGAGCCATTAAGAAAACCTTGAGAAAAACGGCAATTTTCAGATTTTCATTTTAGATGTATAACTCAGATAGCAGTATAAAAGACAGAACAAAACTAGAAAAGACTGGGGAAAGGGAGACCAACCAGAGGATAGCTGCAATTAATAAGCTAGAGATAGTAAAGCCTGAAAGAGGCAAAGGCAGCAGTAATGGTGAGAAAGAGAGAGTCCCAGATATATTTGGAAGATAAAATTGGAAGGCCCTGGTGACTTAATAGATGAAGTAGGTACAAGACTGAGAGAAATCTAAGATGACTATCTGGTTTTAGGCCTTGAATTACTGCGTAAATGATAATACAATTAACTGAGATAGGAATAGGTGTTTTGTTTTGATTTGTTTTAAATTTAGTTTTTCATTTCTTTTGGAGGGTAGGCATAAGAAGATAAATAGTGAGTTTCTTAAGTTTGAGGTAATTATGGGAAAGGTCAGATATAAATTTTATAGGGTAATTAACAGATAGACAAAACCATGAAAGTAGATGGAAGCCCTAGCAAAAAGTGTAAAAAGAGAAGAGCAGCAGAATAAGGGTGAGATGTTTAAAGAGAGACAGAGGCAGATGGCCCATGAAAGAAACATCACCACACTGAGAGGCACAGAGAGATATCAGTGCCATGAAAGCCAAAGCCAAGTATGAGTTTCAGACACAGTGGTCAATAAAGCTAAACACACTCTAACATTTTCCGAGGACTCACTGTATGTCAAGCACTGTGCTGTTTTATATACCATATCTCATTTAATCTATCATCCACGCGCTACAGATGATGAATCTGAAGTTCAGAGAAGTTATGTAACTTACCCAAGGTCATAAGGTGAGCTGGCAGAACTGGGATCTGAACCCAGGTCTGCTGGATTACAAAGCCCATGTTCTTAACTCTGCTGGAGTAAAAGAACTTCTTCAGGATGCAACTTAATATTATGATAATAAGGACTGCTATATATTGCTTTTCCAAGAAGCATATCTTAAAAATCTAATAAATCTCAAAGGAATATTTAATATTAATATCTAATGAGGTCATTATATATTTGATCACTTTATATCATTAAAATAGATTATTTCAGTGATACGTTTTTATAATATCTTTATATCATAAATACCATAATGGTCAAATTATGAGAACAATAAAATGTAACACCAGGTAGTCCACTCAAGTGACTAAAGCACTGCTCCAATAAAGCCAAATGAAAGGTTCTAGTTGGACTACTCAGTGTTCTTCACAGGAAAACTAAGTGCCCTGAACTTAGACATCTAAGCCTATTTCAGCTTTCTCACAAATTTACTGATAGTCCCCAGAAGAGAGGGTATGCATAGTTTAGCACAAACCTAACACAAATGTGGAAAAATTCATTACAGTATACATTCTATGGAAGGTTTATTTTAGGTAATGAATGATTATCCATTTAAAGATAGAGAATAAGCAAGTCGCAGTCCTATCATAAAAGTTGTAATTTTCCTATTTCCCACTAGAGGAAGCAATAACATTACTCTTACCATTTGGTGGATAAAAGACAGCATATTCTTCTAGTCCCAGTTTTCCTGTAAGAGAAAACCAAAGAGTTTCAAAAAACTTGAAATCTTGAAAAACTAACTTATTCTGTGAATATGTTAAAAATTAATAGAATTTTAAAAACTAATATAAACCAATCTTATTTCATTTCATGATATAGAATTAGTTTGAAAATTTACTATTTAATCTTTTGATATTAGCAAACTCTTTCATCAATTAAAGTCAACAATATAAACTTAAGTACAAAGAAGTGATACAAAATAATCAAAAGAATAAATGCTTTTGAGCTCCTTAAGTACTGAAGAGAAAGATCTGTTTATATGCACATAATTGTTTTGCTAATTATAAGTAATTCTAATGTATTCATTCATGCAAGCTCCAACTTTGCAATACTACAGTAGTTTATATTTTTACGAAATGTGCTGATAAGTTAAAAATTACATGTCTTTAACTGTATAGTGGTCATATTTTCTGAATCCCAAAACAGTTTATATGAGAATGGGACTAAATATTTGAAATCAGAATTGTCCCAGAAAAGTAAAGTATATTCACTATAATCAAATGTTTAACAGAGTTTTAAAAAGTAGCTTTCCCTCAAAACTGTTATGGTCCTTAGTTTTCCCCCCACTTTTCACTGAGTATCTTTAGATAGTTTTTATCTTGACAGTTTTTCTAATACCTGTGTGTCTATAGACAAGTCACATGTATTTTTTCACTGGGCTTTAAAATAACATTTTTAATTTAAAAAATATATATTTTTTGTTCTTCTTAAGGGGTGGTGACAGAGAGGAGATAAAGAATAAGAATGAGTGGTTCAGGTTAGGGTAAAGACAACAGGACTGATCTTGTGAGGAAAGAAGGAAATAATGAAAAATAGATGACAGATTAAAATCGACTACTGAACTAGGTGCTGAGAGGTGAACACAATAAATGTAAGATATGGTCCCTCAACCATATGGTTATAATCCAGATGAAACCATAAAATGTTAGGGTATATTTGCTAACTTTTCTGGCTTTAGGTGTTTGAGACCGTGTCTCTAAAAAAAGAAAAGAAAAGAAAGGAAATTCAGAGGAGAGGAAAAGTAATGATAGCCAATAGCTTGGTGGACATGAGGAGGGTACAGGCTAGTTCTACAAGGATCTGTGATTTTGGGGTGGAGGAGTAGAAAGCCTTCCACATGCAGGGAATATATGGAGGCTAGAATGAATATGGGGTATTGTGGAATAATCATGGAAACAAAGTTAGCTAGGTTAAGACAGTAGCAACTGATTGAGGGCCTTAAAATCCTGGCTGAGTTTAGAGGTGAGCCCATTAGATATTAAGTTCTACAATCAGTTTTTCAGCAGATGATGTTAAAGAAACAAACAACAGGTTTACATAAGTTCAATTTAGAAGCAATGCAAGTAAGAGAGCCCTAATTTGGGGGGAGTCTGACTCCAGCACAAGGTAATGTGACTTGTCCTAGGGTGGGGTTGAAGCTATCAGGCAGGTAGGTCAGACTTAGGAAATACAGGATAAACAGTTTCTTTTTTCATGGAAACTGCAGAATGACCATACACAATGGGGTCTGAGCTTTCAGTGCTGGGTATTCACCACTTAGTAAAAAAGACAAGGTGGGAAGAGCTTTCACCTAAAGTTACTTTTCAGGTAATGGCAGGATATTGAAATAGTGATATCTTATAGGCAGCTAGTGATAAAGAGAAGAAGCACTAAAAACCAGAGCTAATAGCATATACGTTATATCAGAATTTTAAGTGTGGCGGAACATTTTGAGAGAAAGAATATAAAAGGTAAAAAATAAGTAGAAAAAGCAAATCCATGTGATAAACTCATAGTTAGAAAAGAAAAGTCAACAGATATAACAAAACAATAGAGAGAGCAAAGAAGGAAGACAATGAAGGGTAACATGAAATGCTGCTTCTGGGAACCACTTTTCCTGTGACCTGTGATAAGCTGCTTGGGCACTGATTTAAGTGAGAGTGAAAGGACAGTTATAGTCTGAGAGGAAATCTAGTAATTTACCAAAAAAAAAAAAAAGAAAGAAAGAAAGAAAGAAAGAAAGAAAGAAAGAAAGAAAGAAAGAAAGAAAGAAAGAAAGAAAGAAAGAAAACGAACGAACACTAATATATGTCATAAATCAGCATTCTTGGCAGGTTTATGTAAATCTTAAAGAATACTTCCTTAAAATTACTAAAATTTTACCTCTTATATACGATTTCGGTGGTGAAGCACTGTTATATGCAAAGTGACTCAATACAGATGTATCCCGGGAAAAACAGAGTAATACCTGGGTACAACATTGGAAAAAACAAGCAATTAAGCACTGTTATAAAACCAGATAATTCATTACTATTTCCTACTCGGAAAGTGTTGATGTGTAATTGTTCCAAATTCAGTACAGTGCTTTGTGAGGGGAAGAGTGCCCTCTGTCAGTATACCTGTGGTGTTGTAGTGGGATGCTAAGTGTCAACTGCCCAAGTTCTTCCAAAGAGTTCTTACTTTTTGCCATGTAAACTTTGATCAACAGCAGAAAATGCAAGTTGCTAACCATCAGCTGATTCTTTTCTTGTGTTTTCTAGCTGGGAGAAAGAAACACCTGGGAGAAATTTAGCAGATGAGAGATGTATAGGGCACACCCTAGGTAACTACAGTGGCATAGGGCAATTTGAAAAGTAAATACACTAGACTAGGAAATAAACTAGATTCATTGCTGGGATGTTGGGCATGTCAACTCATAGACCTACACTTATTCAACCCGCTGTGCCTGTTACTTACTTTTATCTCTATGTGCTCTATTCTGGATGATTTCTTCAGATTTTTTTTTAAATCAGTTTACTAATTCCCTTCTGCTTTTACTATGCACCAGGTACTGTTCTAAGGATAGTAAGTAGCAAGTATGATAAATAATTATATAGTATACTAGGTGGTAAGTGCTATGGGAACAAGGTAAAAGGGAACAGGGAAAGGGTGGTTGTCATTTTAAAGAGGGCAGTCAGAGAAGGCTTCATTGAGAAGCTAACATCTGATCAAAGTCTTGAAAGGAGTTGAGAAACTTAGCATATGGATATCTGGTGAAGAGCATTCCAGACAGAAGAGCCAACAACTGCAAAGGTGCTAAGACAGGAGCATGCCTGCTGTTTTGGAGAAGCAGCATGGATGTCAGTGTGGCTGCAGCAGATGAGTTGAAAGAGATATGTCACAAAGAAAGAGAGGACGGATCAAGCAAGGCATTGCAGGCCCTTCAGGGAATGTTGGGTTTTATTGGGAGGATTTTTAGCAGAGGAATGAAATGATCTAATATATTTTATAAGGATTGCTCTGACCACTGTGAAGAGAATTGGCCATAAGGGTCAAGGACAGAAGCAGGGAGACTTGTTAGGAGACTACTGATAGTGGCTTGTACTAAGATGGCAGCAGTGTGTGGTAAGTGTGTGAAGAACCACCCAGAGACCCTTCCCTTACAATGAAGCACTTTTTAGAGCAGCTGGTAGTGCTATAGCAGACAGTCCTCAGCAGCCAGTCCTTTCATGGATTACCTCTACTGAAGACAGCTATTTTGCTCAAATATCAAGATCACACCAATTTGTTTCTTTTTGGTCCTGGAATGGCCTACATCCAATGAAAATGATGTAAGGGAAAAAGGCCTCAACCTCTTGTCCCCCACTCAGGATGAGTCTGAGAGTTGATCCCATCTTCAGAACTCTCTGCAGCATTGGCTGAGGCTTCCATTTAAACTGTATTGCAGCTAGACTTTTCCTTTTGCCCAACCCTGCCTCACTTACTGCGTTTCCATAGTTGTTGATTCTAAGAGCACTCCTTAATAAAACCTTCAGCATGCTAATCTCCATCTGAGTTGGCTTCCTTGGGAATCCGTCTTACAACATAGTGAAAGTGGGGGAAAGTGGTCAGATTCCAAATACACTGTGAAGGCAGGGCCAATAGGATTTACCAATAGCTCGGATGTAGTGGTGAGAGAAAGACATGAGTCAAGGATGATAACAAGTTGAAAATGGAAGGATGCTTGATTTAAGCAAGTGGAAAGTTAGGAGTTGCTATCAACTGAAACAGGGAAAGCAGCAAGCAGAACAGTTTTAGGAGTGAAATCAGGAGTTCAGTTTTCAATGGGCTAAGTTTGGGATGTCTGCAGGACATCAAATGGAGATGCTGAATCAGCAGTTGGAGATTTTAGTCTGGAGCACAGGAGTAAAGTTTGAACTGACGATATAAATTTGGGAATTATCAACATATAGATGGTAACAAAAGCCACAAAATAGGTAAGCTGGGTGAAATCAAGTGAGTGTAACTAGAGCAGGGAAGACCAAGAACTGAGACCTGAGTAATTCTAAAATACCAGAGAGAAGAGAAGGAACCAGTCTAGAAGAGTAAATCCATCTCTGCTATCCACCATGATGCTATGAAGGGACTTTAGAGCCCCTTCCTTAGGATGGGTCCCTGTGAGTATTGGAAGTAGCTGGGAGATCTAGAGTGTTCTTGGCAAAGAAGGCAAGTCAGGTTGTAATCAGAATGCATTTCTGGTAAACTGTTTAATAAGATCTCAGAAGAAAATGACTTGAATTTCTATAATTCTAATGATTTCTTATTAGTTTTTCCTTATTCTAAACAAAAATATATATTCTTACCTGATTTTTTATTTGTAATATTACATTCTCTTTCTTAAACAAGGCCCTCCAAATTGTATAAGCTTTATATTCCCAAAATGCTGGGTTTATCTCCAGTAACCAGAAAAATAAGAGGAAATCTAAAAAGAGTTGGTGTCTTGAAAGCCAAGTGAAGGAAGAACAGAACTGGGTCAAATGCCATTGAGAGATCAATTAAGAAGAATATGGAGAACTGGTCATTGAATTCAGTTACTGGTGACCTTGACAAGAGCTGTTTCAGCTCAAATGGTAGGGCACCATATATGACGTTTGGTATCTGCTTTTTTTTTTTAACCTAACAATGCATTAAAGAGATCTTTTCACATTGACATATAGAAAGCTGCTTTGTTCTTCATTCTGTATCTTTGATGCAGTCCTTAAATTTATCTAATGGGTTAGTCCCCTATAAAATAACATTTATCAATAAATTATTTTCAATTTTATGCTATTTCTGATATTACCAAAATAATTAGCCTTTTATTGTGCCATTTCACACATGAGTGCCTCTGTAGGACAAATAAATAGGAATAGAATTGCCCAGTCAAAGGGTACATGCATTGAAAAATGTGATAGCTATTTGCTATATATGTACATTATTTGTTATCTTTATGCAGCATTTCTACATATTTATAGTGGAAGGGGGCTGTGTTAGTGAGCTCAGTCCCTTACATTGCCTGAATCTTTATTTTCAACTATATATTCTAAATAATTTTTGTTCATATTTAAAAGAAGGCTGGGCATTGTGGCTGATGCCTGTAATCCTAGCACTTTTGGAGGTCAAAGCCCAAGGACTGCTTGAGCCTAGGAGTTTGAGTTTGCAGTAAGCTATGATGACTCCACTGCACTCTAGCCCTGGCAACAGAGCAAGACCTTGTCTCAAAGCAAAATAAAACAAAATAAAACAAAGTAATAAGAATTTTAATATTTTATTTGGTAAAGAGGCATTTAACTGAATCATCTTATTAGTTCTAGCTTTTCAGTACTATTCCTTGAATTTATATATATATGTATATGTACACACACACACACATAGATACTTGATAATAATATTGTGTCCCTTATGATATCTGTAACTCTATTTTTCTTATTTTATTCATTGGCTAGAAATTCAAAAATGATCTATGTTCTTTCCTTGCTTTAGAGGAAACATCTCTAATATTTCAATAATAAGCAACATTAATTTACATTAAGATGGTGAATATTAGTTTCATGTAAATACTATGTGTTGAGAAAATATGCTTACTTTCTAATGTAGAAAGAGTTAGTATAAAAAGAGTTAGGGATGAAAAATTACCTTTGGGTACAATGTATATTATTTTGGTGATGAGTATAGGAAAAGCTCAGACTTAGATACTATCTAACATATATATGTAACGGAATTCAACTTGTATCCCCTAAATATATTGAAATGAAAAAAATAAGGTTGTACAAAAATGTGACTATATTTAACATTACTAAACTGTATATTAAATGGTTAAGATGATAAATTTTATGTTATCACAATTAAAAATTTTTAAATAGATGTTATCAAATACAGTTTCAAATATATTTTTGGTATCTATTTAGATAATAATATGATTTTTATTTCTTGACCTATTAATGTGATATTTTCTAATAATTAAGCAAAATCATTAGGCTCTAAAAAATTCTAAACCCATAATATGTTATTGATCCAGTAAATAATATTAATATTTTCTCTTGCCAAACTTTCATGCACCACTGTGGGAGGCAGAATAATGCTCCCCTAAAGATATCCACATCCTAATCTCTGGAATCTCTGTGCTATGGTTTGTCTCTACCAAAATTCCTATTCAAATTGGATTTCCAATGTGGTAGTGTTGGAAGGTGGGGCCTAGTGGGAGATGTTTGGGTCTTGGGATGGATCCCTCATAAATAGATTAATGTACTTTTGTGGGACTTGCTTCATTATCATGAGAGCAGGTTGCTCCTTCTGTATTTGGTCTCTTTGCACATGCCCCCTTCCTCTTCCATTTTCTGCCATGAGTTGAAGTAGCATAAGATTTTCACGAGATGGGCTGCCCGATCTTAGACTTTCCAGCCATCAGAATCATGAATCAAATAAACCTCTATTCTTTATAAATTACCCAGTGTCAGGTATTCTGTTATAGCAACACAAAACAGACTAAGACATTAAGATTAAGACATTAAGTGGATATGTTACCTTACACCAGCATTCCCCAACCTTTTTGGCACCAGGGACTGGTTTCATGAAAGACAACTTTCCTACAGATAGGGAGGGGTGCAGGGTAGAGGGGGCTGAGGGGCAGAGTTCTGTGGCTCAGTCCCTAACAGGCCAAGGACCAGTGCCAGTCTGCAGCCCAGGGATTGGGGATCACAGTCTTATACAACAAAAGAGATTTTGCAGATGTGATTAAATTGAAGGTCTTTAAATGAGAAGATTATTCAGGATTATCTAGGTAGACCCAATATAATCACAAGAATCCTTATACATGAAAGAAAGAGGTAGCAGGGTCAGTGTTAGAGAGAGATTTGAAGATGCTATCTGCTGGCTTTGATGATGGAGGAAGAGGCCACAAGCCAAAAAATGCAGGTACACTCTAGAATCTGGAAAGGGGAAAAAATTCTCCTGCAGAGTGTCCAAAACAAT